TGCTGCTCCAGGAGCAGGCTCTGCCTGCCAGAGCCGCCGCCGCCGCTGCTACTAAGCGGACTCAGCCTCTCCAGCACGGAGCCTGAGTCCTGACTGCTAGACTCCAGCAGCTCGACGACCGATTCGACGCTGGCCACCCTCACGCCGCTTACGCTACCCACGCTATCCTCCGTGCCTAGCTCGGTGGTCAGCTCGGTTCTACGCGAGCCCCTGTCCTCTTCCTCCTCGTCCTGCTCCTCTGTTTCCTCTTCCTCCTCGTCCTCTTCCTCGTCCTCCTCCTCCTCGACGCCCTTTGCCTTCGGTTTGGCCGCTGCTGGCTTCAGCAGCGCGGCGTCGGCATCGAGGAGGACGCTGCCCGCTTTGTCACCGGCCAAAGAAGAAGGTTCGGCCACCAGCGAGCCATTCACGAACACCTGATCCTTGCCGCCCTCCTTCCCCCGATCCTCCTTTTCCGAATCTAGCTGTTTCCGTTCGGGCGTCGCCGCGGCGCCTCCGGGGTCTACTTTGTCCGGAGGTGGTGGCTCCGGTTCTCTGTCCCGTTCTCTCGACTGGCTTTCCTCGTCTTCCTCAAGCTTCTCGGCCTCTCTGCCCGACCCGTCCCGCTGTTGCTTTCCGCTTTCCTCCTCCGCCTCGTCTTGATCCGACGCGGTTTCCTCGTTACCCTTCCCTTTCCGTTCGGACCTAAGCTTCCTACCAACCGGGCTTGTTCTGAGTCTCTTGGTCAGGGGATCGCAATGGTCTTGATCCTCGTCCTCCTCCTCCTCTTCCTCCTCGTCCTCCTCCCTGCCGCGTTCTTCACCCTCGGATCTATTACCGAGGCGCTCCTCTTTCTCGCCGGGCTTTACGCTGCTCGGACTTTCGTGGTCCTCCGAAGGCTCAGACTTCGCTTCCTGACCGCTCGGCCTTGGCCTCCGTCGCACTGGCCTCTGCGACGACGGACTCTCAACCGGACTTTTCACAGCGGTGCCGCGTTTCCGGAGCTTCGAAGCGCTGCTCGACGCACTGTTCGCTTCTTCCAATACCGTACGCGGTATACGATTGCTCGGCCGACTTGACTGCGGACCCTTGTTCTCCCGGTCCTCTTGCCGCGTCGACAGACCGGTCTCCGAGTCCTTCTCTAACCTGTCGCGGCTCGCACCTTCGCTCACTCGTCTACGCCGACTGTTCCGCGCGGTGTTCTTTTCTGAAATGGGAAAATTTGGATGGATCAGACACTTTGTCCAGATTTGGATCGATTGTGGAGATTATAACCGCTATGCGATTCGAGCAATAACCTAATTTGATCGGAGGGGATTCAGACTGAACATAATTCTATAAAATATTGAAGCCACCGGATGATAATGTAGAATTATTCAGCGGTCATTAATAATGGCAACTTTGTGTCTCTAACCCGTTCATACCAGACCTAACCAGGAATGACTAGTTACTCTACGCGGCTGACAATGGGTTACCGAGGCCCAAATTTGATACAGCTTGTGGTTAGAATCTCTAAATGTTTTATCGACTATTTTGCAACGATCAGAGGCTAGTAAACAACTGGTCGCACTCTTTTCCAGGGTCACGTCAACATCGGATTACATTGTTCGACGTATAATCACGGTTATCGATCCGTACTCGTGTCCAACGCTCTCCGCGCGCGGTGTAACCGGGAACCTATCCAGCGTAGCCTTGTTCAACCTTGTCGATTAAGGTCGATCGATCCAACGTAGCTGGCTGGCCACGCCGGCCGTTTATCACGACCAGCAATTACCGAGGAGATTCGCTAATCTCTTTGATGCATCCTCGCTACGTGCCGCATAATTCGACGCGACCTTTCGAAAAGGTGTTCTCCATCCTCTTCGGCGGCCAGGTTAGCAACTGCCCGACATCGAACAACTGGGAAACTATGCGGGCAACGAATCCCGCGTCTCCGTTGCAATGGGAATTCCAGCTGGTCTGAATTTACATGCCGCAACAATGAATCGCCTCGGACAACGCGGCTCGTTGTTTGCGCCTTGAAAGCATGGTAGCCAAAAGAAGAAGCACGGAAGGGTATACCGAGTTAATAAAATCTTCCAATTATCGATTAGGGCAAGCGACCAAGTCGCCGTGTCCCGACGGTTAATCTTGCGAACACAGCTCTCGGGAACGACCTTCGGGATACGCACCGCGCCGACGTGGCTTTCATCTCCTTGACCTCGATCAGTACCGCCCGATCTAATATTCAATAGGGAGCGAACGTTGCATTCCGGGGATTGGTGTTCCGGGCCGATGTTCGTGCCAGCTCGTGTAGGTACACCGGGTTCAAGGGTCTTCGATTAACCCGCTACGAACACGGTAGTAATATGAGAACAATTCATCCCGATGCGCAGTCTGAGATCAAACTGTCTTAACGGCGTCTGACTAAAGGGAGAGAGGAAATATAGAGAGGCCAAGGAATTAGTCAATAGCTAAGTTCTACAAGAGAATATTGGGCCAGGCCAAATGAAACTAAGAATTTTTCTTGGAAACAACTTTCGAGTTCCCGAATGATTAATGATTTTAGATTCTAGGACATGCAATCTTGTTGGTCGTAAAGAAGAATAACTGCCTACTAAATATGGTCAGTGATAAGGTATTCAGTTTGTATTAATTTAACGTGGAATATAACGTACGATTCGCCACACAAATGTGGTTACATTTCTGACATGATTTACGGCTTCAAAATCGTATGCACTGCTCTATGGTTAGTCCACAGAGCTATACTGTATATAGAAAGGAACTGCGGTAGAAAGCATTCGTCGCGAAAAATTCGTGACTTTTCCGCAGCTTAAAGGGGTCGTGGGTGAATCGAGGCTCGACGAAATCCTGGCGTCGGAACCGGCCGTGGCTCTCCTCGTCAGCTGTATCAAAGGGGCACGGAGGTCGTCGGCGATGGTCGTTTTACGGGTAAATTAGAGAGTCGCCGCGCGGCTTGGCATGGGGCCTGCGAGTCTCGGAAGAAGAATAAGAAGAGCGGGAAGGAGGTCTCTGGCGGTCGGCCAACGCTTTTATTTTTACACCGGGACCCCGGTGTCGTTTCTCGCCGCACGTCTTCACCCCCGTCGGGCGATCGCCATTTTCCCCCGCTTTCGCACGAAAATCTCCGACGGTCCCGTTGAAAATAAGTTTATCAACAAACGCACGCGCGACCGGGAGATCCTCGCGGCGTTGCAGGGTGCTACGGCAGAAATAGAGCGGCTCTAAAATAACCGTGCAAGACGAGACACGGGCGGGTCGCGCTCGCTCTCCCAACCATTCGCCGATCTCCCCCGTTCGCTCGCCTTCATTCATCGACTATCGTTTTTCACGTTCGTCTTCCATCTTTCTTTCTCCTCTGTCTTCTCATGCCTCTCTCTGGTCGCCTTTTCCTCGGCGATCTCTTTCGGTCGGTCGTAAACCATTCGAAAATTGCTTTCCGATTCATGTATCGTCGAATTACACCGCGCCGTAAATAAATTGCTGTTTCGTTTCGTGTTTTATAATCTCCATTTCGTAAACTCTCATTAACATTCGCAGTGTACAGTGTTAACGTACGGACGGTTCGTCCGCAGCACGGCACGGGCATCGGTGGCTCGAACTTGCGAAGACAGGACGAGCTTTTTACGAGCAATAAAGAACAGCTTTCATTCGAAGGCTGCGGAATGTCATTCCACTGGTTTTAAAACGACTCGCGGGTTAATTATTCATGCGGCGTTTGTTATTCTCAAGTCCGCGTGACTCACTGACTTTTCGCTTATGACCGTACGACTGGGGGATTCTTTATGCAAATGCGGTAAGCTGAATGGTTGCGATGAAAGAAAATGTCTAATTAAATCTTCGGTGAGGTAATTGATTCGCCGGCTTGTGATGAATACGGGAAATTTGCTGTGACACTTGGAAATCGGGGAATGTGGATGAAAGAAAGAAAGAAAGAAAGAAAGAAAGAAAAAAAGACACTCGTGTGATCGATGAAAGATGATACTCCGAGCTACCTGTGCACGCGAAACGTTCAAATTTCGACAAAGCGTTTAAATGGCCGGCAAACTCGGCCAGCCATGTCTAATTTCATCCCTGCGAGACCCGGGTCAGGACGAATCGATATTCATCGGTGTAGGGGTTTACTTTGTCTGCTACGATAAAGACCCCGGCTATATAGCTGTTTTCCTGAACTCTACCCTTCCCAAATGGCAACTGCTTCGTGCTTCTATAAGCGACGCCCGGTAATGGATATTAGGTATAAACAATACAGCACGGCACGTATAAAACATTATTTAACGTAAATATTAGTTTGCCAACTTGTGTTGAATGGTGTAAATATTTCGCGAGTATCAGTTTCAGTTTGATAAAACCATGGACATTTATCTGAAAGTGACACTCGCAAAATAGAATTCTACGGAAAGTTTCTATTTCTAATTCACAGTCACTTCGAAAACGAAGTTCTAAAACACACTTTTCTCTTATAAATAGATCAACTTTACAAAATTAGTAACGAAATTCGTTTCAAATATGCATAGACCATTTGCCGACAAAGTGCTCCAATCCTAAAATTGACAAAACGTTCAAGTTAATCCGCACCGTCAACTGTAACAAATTCCGCAACGAATGTAAAGGATAACGGGCAGCTTCGACATAAAAATTCCGCCAGGATAAAAATTCATAACCAGGACCCGCGACTTCCCTTCAGCGAAAATCTCCGACCGCGTAATCCCGCGCCTTTCAATATTCTAACACGCCTCCGCCGGCCGACCTTCCTCCAGGAATCCGCTTACCATCCCCGGGAAATTCGTTGCCCGGATTATCCTGTTCCTCTCGTCGTTCTGTCTCTGCGAACATTGGAATTAAACGCGGAAATCCGTCTGGACCAGGAATCTTGGAAACGGCGTGGACACTGGGAGCGGGGCCGCGGGATCACCGGGATTGGATCTACGTGTTCGATCAGCGTACCCCGAACGTCCATCGACAGAACATCGTGGCTTCCGGTTTCGAACGCCTTCAATTTCGATAAACGCGCGACCAACTTCCACGTAATCCGAAAGCAAACCCTAGCCGAACGGGATTCCATGTTTCTTCGGAAAGGACACGGATCACACCCGAAATCTTCGATGGTGAGTATCATACAATGTTGAGACGCGGGAACTCCTAATCTCTGATTAGGACTCGGTGGGTATAAATTCGATATTGGAATGTATTGGGTATCTGCAAATGATCAATACACTTTTAATTTAGCTTAGAAAACTGTGTACTGTAGTCAGATTATGGATGGCTATGGAAAGCTGTACTTGTGTGGAGTGTTTCTGAGTACTTGGTACAAATCCTGTTGTCAGAAAGGTTTGTAATAGTACAATGGAAGTAATGAAGCCATTGCTCAGTACTTTACACATTTCCGCATGACGTAAATGCATTGAGATCTCGAGTCTAATTACAGTTGCAGAATTGCAATTAGCGTCGAGAAATTATGAAAGTGAACCCCGTTGAATGTGACTCTTGCTCACAACAGGCGCCACTTTTTTTAAACAGCAGTGAACACAAACATCCAGAGATACGTTATACTACTTCGTACCACTAAATCGTAATAATACGAACTTCTCGGGAGAATGATTTACAGTTTCACCGCAGTCCATCACGAAAGTGCATCAATCATTTGCGGACGCGCAGTTGCCGAATTCCAGGTCGCATCCGAATGAGCAGTCCATCCCGTTCAGGGACCGTTGTTTCCGCCGCCGCGTCGAGGAGTGTAGTTCGTATCCGCCGACCCGTTTTCGCGTATTCAAACAAATGCAGTTCGCAGAAGAGATTTCCCAGTGATTTCGTGGCTCGAACTGGACCAACCGGTTATGGTAAATCCTAGCCGGTTCCGTTTTCTCCAGGGAGTAATTCAATTTTCCGCGCTAGGACGGTGGAGGAGGCGAAGCGGCATCGAACGGGATCGTTGTCCTCGACCCTCTTTTCTGCCTTTCAGTTTTTTTCCGCGGACAATAATCGCGTGGACGTCGTCTCTCCCCGGTTGTCGGCGCTTTTGCTTACTCCTGTTCCCCCGCCCCTCCTGCCCTACGCGGTCCAGAAAATAATGGCTGGGCGAATTAAAATGTAAAGCAAAGCACGTCGGCGCTGTTCAATTACGCGGAGCGTAATGCATGCGGACGGAGGCAGGACAGGAGGACAAACCGCAGTCGCCAGGAAACGCAGAGCGTCGAGAGTTTGCAA